AGAAAGAAAGAAAGAAAGAAAGAAAGAAAGAAAGAAAGAAAGAAAGAAAGAAAGAAAATCCAAACAAAAATTGTTGAAAACAGTACCTCCTTACTTCTAAGGAGGTACCCCTCCTTTGAAAAAGCTTTTTCTAACTGCTAATTTCTCACTAACCCCTTTACTTTATACTAGGAAGAAATGTCTCTTTATGAGTTACACATTTTGAAAGAGAAGCAATGACAAATCTATTACTAGCATGAACTCAATTCAGTTGGTCCAAAGACTTCTTGATTATTTAGAACTTGTTCCTGTGTAACCATGGAATCAGACAAACAGTTGCTATGTTTCAAACACAACTGTGAGATCTGAAAAATGACCTCAGTGTAAGGCAGAGACTTTCAACAGGAAATTGGCTGTAGGCGTCTTGTCTAGATCTGAGAGATACAAGCAGCTCAAATACCCAGTCTAAGGCTAAACACAAAAAGAACCACAGGGACACAGAACTCCAGGAAGCCTATGCACAGCAAGCCTATGACAATATTGACACTTATCTAGAGATGCTGACTTTATCTCGAAAACTAAACTAGAAAACCCATTTTAGAAAAGTTTCCGTGGGACATCACTTTCTTAAAGACAGAGTCACCTGTCAAATTTTTAGAAATATCCACCTCAGAAAAGGTATCACACAAACAGTACTACAAAAGCTCAAATGTTCTCATACCCACAACTAAAACCTGTTAACTTTAGTGACATGGAAGAAGCAGGGAACCTTCACAGCCAGGAACTCTGGCTTGAAATTTGATCAATATAAAGCATTACACCTTGGGGCCAAGTCTATGACTGTTCAGAAATCTATGATTTTTTTTCTAAGTTTTACAAATGATTTTCAAAGGATTCTATACACTTGAGAAATTTATTTCTCAAATTTTCATGGGTTACATTTGTTCTTATCAAAGCTGCACTCATGGATCATCAAAGTTCTTTTTTTTGGGGGGGGGGGAGTGGGGAAGGGTGGACACAGGGCTTATGCTATGTAGACTAGGATAGCCTGCAACTTGCAATCCTCCTGTTTCTGCTTCAGAGTACTGACTAGGATTACAAGCATGCTCCACCAAGTCGAATATTTGTAATATTATATAGTGGGCCAAGCAGAATTCAACAACAAGGAGTGGTAAAGTTCTTTCAAGCTTTCAATTTGATTTTCATTAGGCCCAATTTCTTCTTACATAAGCATAAAAAATTCACTCATTATTAAGAGAATCCTGTCACATCTTTATTTGATCACATCATTGCTCCTGTAGTAGGCTGCAATAAAGAAATTTCTGGAGCTCCCTTCTATAGAGAGTACCAAAGCTTTCATTTCGATAAGCTACACTAAATAAAATAAAAATTGCTACACTAAATCCCAGTCATCAAGTCAAAGAATATTCAAATCATCTATTCATATTTTTGTTTAACTGGAAATGCTTCATTTGTAGAAATTAAAAGTCATCCCAGAATCCTTTCATAAATGAGTTCAAAATTGCCTGAACCAGGAGGGTGAAGGAGGAACAGGAATGAGTAGGACACTCATGGAACTCGACTTCTCAACTCAAAAACTCTCCCAGGGTTGTCAAAGGTGGGTCTGAAAAGATAGAACTAAGGAAAAAAATCACTTCATTTGACTAAGAAGGAGGTCCTCTGCTTTCAAGACAGGCATTCCAAAAGAGTAGCAGTATAAACTAAGGTGATTAAGTGGTGAGAAAGGAGGCGAGGGAGGCAGGGGGTGTAAAGCTCTCTAGAGAACTCTAGTAGGAATAGGAAGCCGAGGGAATCAAGTCACTCCCCTGACATTATGGTTGAGACAAAGCATATTTTTTTCTAAGAAGGAGAAACTGGGGATATGTTTTTGCAAACTAAAAAACTGAATAATGACTTGCAACACACGTCAAGACTCATATTTCTACAGAGGTGGTAAAAGAAGGCCATGGATAAGGAGAAATTCAACTGAATGTTCTGGATATATTCTCAATTTTTCTTTGATAGAATATTTAAAATCTTAAGTACTAAATACTTGATTTTAGTGGTAACCTGGGCCTATTATTTAATAGGTAAGTAATCATAGCTACTACCTTTATCCTAACAGAGAAGCCTTCCTTGTCTTCCATGTTCCTAATACATACAAACTCCTACTTTGGGACATAGTATTTTTTCCAAATGAGCAAAATGCATTCATTTCAGCCTTACCTGCTGATCAAATATCCTATGTTCTCGTTGGTTTGATTCCAGATTCTCTTCAGAAAGCGATACCAGAGAGTCACGCCGCTCCTCAATACCAAAAGGGTGTCTAAGATCTTTGGAGTTGGCAGAGTTTACTTCTAGAGATGAAGATGGCTTGTTCCCAACACCATCTCCTCCTGTCAAGCCTTCCAGACTGAAACTGAACACAGAGCATGGGAGTTGTTAATGCATTCATTCCATTTGTAGGTCTCATCATGGAAGGAGGCACATGCTCTGATATTATGCCTACATCCCCTCTGTCTATAAGGGCGTAGTGTAAGTACCACCTACCTTTGCCCCAAAAGCTTTGGAATGCTGAGAAAGAAGAGGGCATGCAGGCTTTCTTACCTTGTTCAACTTCTCTAAATGTTGAACTAGCTAAGACTATCTTCTTAGATTTCTTTCCAATATGGTACATGGACAGATGGTATTTATATTACCTTTTATATACCTCATATATATGTTTTCCACTCATCTAAGTAATGTTTGCCAGAATCAGCTCAGCAAACATCAAATGCCATAGAAAGAGTATAAGCACAGTAACTTTGAGAAGTCATTTGCCTGTGTGTCCACTGTTACTCCATATCTTTACATCTAACCATTTTCTACCTCACTGTCACAACTTTACAGGTCTGCTACCACCCAGAACACTCTATCGTTAGTCTATTATCCTCTGTGCACACCTGGCCAAACAACCACTGTTGACAGGCTTCCTGTCACTGCAGGCAGGCACATGAAACACTAATAAATTAAATGCTGAGAGCTGGAGGCATGGCGCAGGGGTAGAGCATCTGCTTAGACTGAGGCCCTGAGCTCAAACTACAGTACTGCATAAAAGTCCCAAAACAGGGTTTGGAATTTTAATGAGATTTTAAAAAAAATATGGGATTCATCGGGTAAAGATTTTGTGGTCAGCAGAATAAAAACCACTTTTTACAAGCAGGAAGCTACAGAGAAAGGTTAGTTGTCCATCTTCCTTGGGCGGCTAACTAGAATAATTCATGTTTTAGCTACAGTGGTAATGCCTTAAATATAAGCAAGAACTTAGAAATATTTGTAGGTGTCCATGTCCTCAAGAAACAGCTAGAAGTTGGGGTAGTGGTGCAACCCAGTTAACACTAGCTACATGGTAAACTAAATATCAGGAGGATCATGGTTCAAGGCCAGCTTGAGCAAGAAAGACATCCTAACTCAACATGCCAAGAATGGTGGCACATATCAGAAGCCCAGCTTTGAGGAAGGTGTGGCTAGGAGGATCGGGGTCTGAGACTGGCCCTGGGCAAAAAAGCAAGACTATCTGAAAAATAACTAAAGTGAAAAAGAAATTGGAATATGGCTGGTGGTATACTAAAGCTATTTAGTTACATTCATTCTGTAAAAAAAACAAGTGTACAGTTAATTGCCATAATTAAAATCATACATGCCAGCCCAGAAGGGTTGCTATTTAATATTTTTTTGGTTTTATAAATTACTTATGAGCTAAAGTCATATGCTTCTATTTTTCTCTATTAGGTAAGTTACACAACAAATTTGTTTTTCTGTTTTTCTGATTTCAAAATAACAATAGAAGCTATGACTCACTATAATGAAATGTATAAAACTCATATTCAATAGCAGGGATAAGAAGAAAGGGTAAGTAAAGAAAAAATTAATTTTCTGTTGGGAGCTATTTAAAAAGCTTGAGAAAACCAGATCTATGTTCCCCCTAAAATTCAACCCTAAAAAATGTTTTGGTAATTTAAGTCTGGCTGCTTAAGCTGAGAGACCATGAAATGATCATGCAGATCTCTGAAATTGGAAATTTAAGCACAGCGGCAGACTGAATAATGTTACAGAGATCCGTGCATCTCTTTGTTTTCTTTTGCTTTTTACTATGTTCAATACGTTTATTTAACTTTCGGTTATTCATTTATTTAACATTTGGGAATAAATCACTTATGTAACATTCGATGTCAGATAACATCAGTGCATCTTATTAGTTACCTTGCTTCTCTCATTGTTTTTCTAAGAAGCTTTGAATTGGAAAGACTAAAAAGAAAGGAAACTCGGTCTACCATCCCACAGAGTCAAGGAAAGTATCAGCTACTTGAGACAAATGGGTCGCACAGGGCACACTGTGTGGCTTGGGGTTGGTGAAGCCCACAGGCAAGGCAACAGAATACCGTGCTCAGACAAAGCAGCTACCCATAAGCATGCCAGCTCAGAGAAGCCAGCTCCAAGCCAAAAGCCAGATGCCATACTTTATGGTTCCCCGCTTGGTGGCTAGATACATAACCATACTATACCTTCTGTAATTAAAGTCAGCACTCGGGGCAGCAGAATATTGTACACCAGAGGGACACCAGCTCATACTAGATGACATCAAAGGCAGAAACAGAAATGGGGGAAGAAAAGGGGACACAAGTGTGGAGTTATTAGGTTTAAAAGAAAGGACACAGTTAAGAGACAGATTTATTTAATCATCCCCAAACCTTGGATTAATACCGAGAATTTAGAGTAAGAACCATGGAAAACTTAAAACAGTCCTATTGATGGTCTATCTAGATGACGTTTTGGAGAAAAGACTATGGGAGTTCTTGCCAGGCCAACTTAAGGCCCAAGAATTAACTGCTAGTAGTCCCTTGGCAGAGACCCATCCCATTGTAGTTTCCGCTTTAGAAATTTTCAGAAGGTGTTTTAACCCCCACTATTGGGACACTTTAACTTTATCCCTTTACATACATCTCAGCAACCAAATGACCTTGCCACAGTTTCACTAAGTATATACTAGGGTGGGCTTCCTGAATGACCAGTTTTCTGCATTTATTGTCTATCCATTAAGGATCCAATTAAACCAGACAATCTTGAGTCTTAAAATCCTGCAGGATTCTCAATCAAAATTCTGCTATAAGTAAAGCATGCAACAACAGCGACATTCCCTTGTATTTTAATGATAACAATTCCTTCAACTTCTATGGCACTGAGCTAATACATATTTTAAATTGGAAACTTTTTTCATAAGATTAAAACAAATCCATATGATCATCTGCTCCCTTGATTATCCCAGTATAGTAGCAAAAGAAAATTTGAGAGCTGGAAATAATAAATAGAGCCAGTTTAAAGAACAACATTGATGTAGAAGACTGGGAAGGAATTTAAAATGGAGAATGACAGGGAGATAGACATGAACAGCTTTCCTAAGGACCCAGTAAATGAAAGATGTTCTAAGTCTGCCCTTTCTATTAGCAGCTAACTTCCCTCACAATTCAAAGCATCCCAAGGCCTTAGTTTTTCAGTTGGTAGGCTGGGAGGCGGCAGAGGGGGGAGACGGGGAGAGGTGTTGATATGGACTAGTTCTTTGGCTTTGAAATTTAGTAAGTTCCACATTAAATATATACAGACACAGACAGACAGACAGACAGACAGACACACACACACACACACACACACACACACACACACACACAAACACTTATTCCTACTTTAATACTTGTTACAATGTTTCAATTTTACAATTTTTTTTTTTTTGTCAGTTGTGGGGCTTGAACTTAGGGCTTGGGCACTATGCCTGGGTTCTTTTTCTCAATGCTAGTGCTCTACTTCCTGTTTTCTGGTGGTTCGTTGGAGATAACAGTCTCACAAATTTCCTGCCTGGACTGGCTCTGAACTGTGATCCTCAGATTTCAGCCTCCTGAGTAGCCAGGATTATAAACGTGAGCTACCAGCGCCTAGTTTACAAACTGTTAAATTATATATCATGGTCTTTCTACAAGAAATGTTTCACTCATCTTAAATTTAACTAGAATTGTTTATTACACTTGTATATATACACTAACTTGGAATGAATCCAGCAACTTATCCCCAAGTGCAAGCTTTTAGTAAATTCATAATACAGAAACACTGTCAAATGTAGCTTCAAAGGCTTTAGAGACCTTCTACTGAAAAAGGCATTTAATAACATGTTCTCCTTAACTGAAGTCACTATCATATGAGATTCATGAGATTATCTGAATATAAGCTCAATTTTGGCCTAAAATAAAGCCTAAAAGGAAGTATCCACTTGAGGAAGATGAGCAGAAAGATAAAAGATCACTCCCTGCTTGTTTCTGTACAAGATTCAGCTAATGGATACAAATACTTCACCGCAAATGTCTCTTACTATGAGAAATATTGAATAGTAATAGAAGTATACTTTTTGGATTGTTAAATGTTTTTAAGTAAATGTAATGCATAAATACTTCACTAGTGGCTTCTCAACAATAAAATATAACCTACATTTGGAAAGTGTGAAGCAAATGGATATTGTTGGACTAGAAATAAACCTACCAGCTTATAAATCACTGGTTTTTAGCTTCAACTTTTTAACCTAACAAATGATCAATTCAAAGCCTGAGATCAGCTCATACTTCTTAATTGCTTTGTGAAGTGACTCTTTCGATCATGGAACCTAAGGCTATGAGGAATGGCTCAAGTGGTAGAGAGCTAGCCTGGTAAGCATGAGGCCTTGAGTTCAAACCCCAGGACTAAAACAAAACCTCAACAACAAAAAATGAGAGAATAGAAACTGCCAGGTGGCCTAGTTAATAATACCTTCTATCTTATTGAAAATATTTTAGAACCTTTGTAATTCTATTTCTTATTTTCAGAAAGAGGAAGGGAAGAAAACAAGAGTGGGAGACAGTATGAATGGACAGTAGGGAAGGGAGATAAGGGGAGGGAGAAAAAGAAGGGAGGGAGGTTGGTTTCCAGGGTCGCTACATAGGTACAACATGGAAAATGTTTCAAATTCTCCTAGATAAAAAGTTGGTGGAGAGGCTATTATCAAAGTAATCTGAACAAATAAATACTAGAAAAAATATTTTTTAAAATTTAAAAGATAAAATAAAAAGCTTTAAAGAAACTTACTTCTTCTCGAATGGGTATAATGACAAGTAATTAACAAGTGCCTATATTTTGTTAGCCTGAACAAGAAACGACATTATTTGAAATTAGATTGTCCACCTGTAGTAAGCAGAAGATGATTGTTAGTATATGCTCAAAGGCAACGTGTTAGTCCATGGATTTAGTGAACTCTGTACCTTCTTCTATGAATGGGAGGTCTCCTGACCACATCCCCAAGAACTCGCATTGAACTGAAAATGAATGGTGGAAGAGGTCAGTGAGGTCAGTGAGACAAAATGGGCTATAAATGCATGACACATACAGATACCTCAATGGAGAAGACATGATCCCCACAGACAAACAGTACAGGAGGAGAGAGGTTGAAGGAATGTGAAATGACAAAAGCAATCAGAACTGAAAGGACCTGTGGAGGACTACTTCCATCCCTTCTTGCTCCAAAGAGTTAATCTAATGACCAAGCTATGAAGTGTATTAATTTTGTAACTTAATAGGATTAGGAAAAAAGTGCCACTCGAAATTTTAAAAGGTTTTCCTTTTGGGTTACACAATATACAAGTAACAGAAGAATGGTCACACTATTAAAGTGATAACTGAAACTTAACTCTTATTCTATGATATAAAGAGGTATTGAGATAGTGGTACTAGGTACTTATCAACTCTATGGTCAACCATGATCTGTGACATACAGGATGAAACTTAATAGGGTTCTAGTCTCCAATCACGATTGTCTATAATCTTTGCAAATCATTTTTATCTGAGCTACATACAGCTATGAACTCAAAATCATAACAAAGGGGTCCACAGTAGTGACAGAGAAAAATGGGTTGAGTTGTGGCTCAAGAGGTAGAGTGCCAGCCAAAAGGCAGAGTGAGCATGATCCTTACCTCAAGCCACCAAAAGAAAAATAAGTAACAGATAAAATAACCCCTCCTTCCCTCAAGCTGTTTGCTATTCACCATCTAAAATTAGGGTGACCTATCCAGAAGTTTCCCTTACTCAGGAAGGGAATTCTGATCATGTCTATTTCCCTTTTTTGTCAGTCATGCTTGAACCCAGGGCCTGGGTGTTGTCTCTGGGCTTTTTCACTCAAGGCTCTACCACTTTGAGCCACAGCTCCACTTCTGGTTTTCTGGTGGTTCATTGGAGCTAACAGTCTCACAGACTTTCCAGCCTAGGCTGGCTCTGAACCACAATAGCTAGGATTACAGGTGTGAGTCACCAGTGCCTGGCTCATCTATTTCCAATTATTGTGACTGCTTAAAAAAAAAACAAAACAGCAACAGGGCTGGGAAGGTGGCTCAGTGGTAGAGTGCTTGCCTTTCATGAATGAGGCCCTGGGTTCAATTCCTCAGTACCACATAAGCAGAAAAAGTTGGTAGTGGCACTGTGGCTCAAGTGGTAGAGCTCTCGCCTTGAGCTGAAGAGCTGAGGGACAGCACCCAGGCCCAGAGTTCAGACCCCACAACCGAAGACAAAAAAAAAAAAGTATATATAAAACTGGGACAAAAACCCTTTAGGACTTGTGTTCCATATAACCTAGGATTTCAAATGTCTATAAAACAACATGGCAAGTAATACTGCTTTAAAAGAACAACAACCAACCAAAAAAACTATGTTACAGGATGATACAGGGTTGTAGGAAAAGAATTTGACTAAGACCAGAAACCTGGATTCTACTGACCTTGAATAATGTAAATTATTTGCACCAGTCTTATAATGTGTCAAAAATGAGTCTGAAAAAATTAGCAAATTAGGAAAGTATAGGATAGTACTGTGAGCTAGCTCCATTAAGACAGGACATGTCTTGTTTATCTCTATCTCCAGAACTTAGAACAGTGCCAAGCACTGGGTATACACTGGCTGATTAAAAGAATACAGGAGTGAGCAAATCTGACTAGATCACACATTCCCCTAGCTGCATCTCCTTACGAAAGCAGCTCTGGAATAAGTATACCATCCAGGATATCTACAGGGCTGAGAACCCCAGTTCTTTATAGTTAAAACTACCTGCTTAAGTTCATCTGGGCAGTCAATGGTGAGAAACAAAAATCAGCTCCTGCTACCAAAATGAAGGCCTAAGGCTGGATCGTACTTGTAAAAGACTGTAGGACACTTGAGAAAATACCAACATTTTTGTGGTCCCTTGTGAGTCTTCTGCTCTCTTGAGAAATAAACATCAACAATTTATACTTATCAAAACTTTCTGCAGTAGAAACACTTACTTCTTAAGACACACTATGAATACTTAGATGTGTTAAGAATGTTCTGGCAGGAGTAAATATTACCATGTGTTAAATACTACTTAACGGTCATACTGTATTATTACAAATGTACTGACAGGCAAGAATTCGCAGATGGGAAAATTAAGTTCAGGGTGATCAAGTAACTTACCCAAAGCCTATGCTATTACATGCAAGTTACAAGAGTTGGAGTCTGAATAGAGTTCGTTCTAATTTCAAGGCCTGTATTATTTCTTCTCTTAAACTCTTTTGACCAGAAACAGTGCCAAGTGAGAAATATCTCAAAAGCAGGCACAGAGACATGGAATGAATGGACTCCCGGCTCACCTGCGCTGGTTCATTTCTGCATCGCTGGCAGCGTTCTTCCCAGGACCCCAGCTGTGCCTCCGGAACGGGGACAGGGAGCGCATGGAGCTCCTCAGGATGGAGCAGTTGGCAGGCACTTCTGTGATGCTGTCCATCTCCTCCTCTTCCACGTCACCTGAGCCCGTAGGCTCACTCTCACTCTCTCGACCCTCCATTCCCATCCCAGGGCTGTAGAAGCCATTGGGGCTTTGATGATCTCTGGGCTTGTTGAGCTTTGAGGCTGGAGGGAGGGACCCATCACTGCCATGAGAAGAGTGTCGATCCAGAGAAGCTGTGTCATCCGTGGAAGAACTGGACCCCATGATATCACAAACCAACTGCTCTTCCTCAGGCTGCAATGGGAGAAAGCACATCTGGTTGAAACTGCAGGTGCAAGCAGATATCCTCAATTATTCCAGACCAAGTCAAGTGGGTCTAAGAGGACCAAGGGCAATAACTGAATTCAAGCACAGATTCAAACCACCCCTTTGGCCTCTAGTACAGTATTCAAGGATTGACAACTGCCTGTTAACTTATTGGAGGTGCTAATTTAGAAAGCACATCATATTTTCCTTCTAGGGGAAAAAGTTCTTAGGATAATTCAGCCCATACCATCAACTGAAACAAAGGGAGCCATGATTAGTCTGGGGGGAAGAAAAGTGGGGGAGGGGGTTCTACCATATAAAACCATAAATTCCTGCTATGTTAAGTTCAATCTTTTGAAAAGTTTTAACTGAAACAAAGTAGCCTATATAAGTACAAATATGATGTAGTGAAACACAGGGCTGTTTTTAAGCACCCTTTTGAAAAATGCTCAATAACTTACGATCCTATCTAAACTCTGCCAGTTTCTAAATGGGGAAAAGCTAGCATTTCTCAATTCACTGGGAAATGTTTGTATTACAGGGACAAAGCCTACGGAAACAATCTGGTAATGAGGTCTTCCATAAACTAACAATGCTTCTTCTCTGACCAACCTGTAAAACCTAGTAAGAACTCTGGTACTAGTAGCTTGACACCAAGCACACACAATATGATGATTGAGAAAAAGGTGAACATCACAGCACACAAGGCCAAAATACTAAAAGAAGTCAAAGTACCTAGGAGATAGGTGAGCACACAGGGTCACTGCCCTATTGTATACTCTTGCAGGTTGGGGAGCAGAGAATGGGGAAGGGACACTGCCATCTTTTTTTTTTCACTACTAACTCCTGGTTAGCCAGGTGACTCAATGTTTTACTATGGGTTCTTAGGAGAAAATGTAAACAGAGAGAGAGAACACCATGGAGTCATTTCAAAGTTGGAATGGGAATCAAGCCCTTTATTTGGAAAGGTTATTTGTTTGCTTACATTGGTTTGTTCTGTTTTGACAGTACTGGGGACTGAACTCAGGGCAGCCTTGAACTTTTAGGAAGGATGCTGCTCTGCCACTTGAGCCACACCCCCACACCTTTTTGTCTTGGCTATTTTGAAAATGGGATCTGCCTTATGCCCAGCCAGATTACACTGTGACTCTCCTAATTGTGTTGCTCTGTGTTTCTGAGGATAGCAGGTGCTAGCCACTGCGCCCAGCCATTATGTGTCTCCCATAGCTAAGATGACAGGCATACGCCACTGTGCCTAGCCATTGGTTAAAGTGGAATCTCCCCAACTTCTTTTTTTGCTTGGCTAGCTTCAAACTGTAATTACCCCATCTCTGTCCTCAAGTAACTAGGATTACAAGCTTGCACCACCAAGCTCAGCTTTGTGCCTGATCGCACCAGCTACTTTCTAACGTTTTTTTCCCACACTAAAGATTTCACTTTCTTAGATTAGCTCCTGTTTGAATGATATGTAGGATGAGACTAAGTGGGAAAAGCACAAGGAGATTATAATGTAGGCCAGAAAACAGAGACTCAGATTGTCTAATGGAGTCTTCCCAAGTGTGCAAGCTGTGAGTAACAGAATCAGGGTTGGAATCAGAGCTGATTTTAACTCAAACAAATCTTCCTGTCAGCTCCATCATTTCTAAAATCACTTGTAAGATGTCAAAGTCATCAGAAAGCCCCTTCACCAGACAGCCTGCAAAATAAAACTGTGCTTGACCAAATAAATTCTGAAAGGTGGTATTACTTTTAAATGAAATTACTGACTGTCCTTTTTATGTCACCAAAGGACTGAAACAGCCATCCTAAAAGATTCCTATTCAAGATGCTCCCCTCTCCAGAAGGAAAATGTCAACAGTCAAAAACAAAACTTTGGAGGGGAATTCTACAGTATCTTAGCTTTCTCACACTACTTACTGAGTCAAAGTCCTCTCCTTAAAATAGGTGTCCCTCTCAGAAGGAGACCTTATTTGGAAATAAGTCTTTGTAGGTGTAATTGATTAAGATGAGGTTGTGGGCCTAGACCAAACATGAGTGGGTCTCCTTGTAAGAGAAGTGAAATAAAAGACAGAGATTCTCGAGCAAAGATCATGTGACAAGTAAAACAGAGAGTTGGTCAGCCCAGGCAATGCCAAGGAGTGTAACAAGCACCAGAAACCAGCAGGGAAGCCAACTCTGGCAAAATATGGACCCCTAAATTTCATTCATTTATTCGTCAAACACTTATTATTTATATTATACACAAGGTGTTCTGTGTGTCTTGGGAAACTGCTCACATTTTAAGACCCTAACATATACCACAATCATTGAATTCAATCTGGGCAAGAGTTTATGTAAGAAGCTGAAGGACCTGAGCAGAGTGGCCTATAGTGTGTCAACTTTTTCTTACCACTTCTTCTCTTAGTGAGTGCTCCACTTTAAAAAGCGTTAATTTTATAGTGCTGATCTAAGGAAAAGAAATACCTTAGAAAATATTCTTAAGGATAAAGACGATGCTCATGACAGCCACTGTAGAGTGACATTTTACCAGAAGGAGCATAAACAGAAAGACAAGACGAAGGGGAAAAGTTCATGAAAAACAGCTGCTGTTTAAAAAAAAAAAAAATCCCGTGTAAGGCTGAAGTTAAACAAATGTCTGCAGGAAGTGACCTAATGCACCACTGGCGGTTCACAGAAAGGGATGTTACAAGGGCTTGCCCGCCAGTTATTACTATTAATATTATTTTTAGAGAATGGGGGAGGAGAGGGTTAGGCCCTGGGAAGAAAGTGGAACACTCTGGTACTGTGCAGCACATGCTTATATGGATGACGTATGCAGAAGATTTTTAAGAAAGCAGCTGATGGCCTATCCACCAATACTGTGCTTCAATACAAATTACTGGCTTTCGGAGGAGCTTGCGAGAGATCAAGAAGAAACAAAACCTGGATGGATTTTAAAGTCAAGCCAAGGTGCAAATCTCAATCTCTTTACTTGGTGCTAGTAATTTTTACTGGTAACAACATCTACTACCCTCAAGAATATCAGTTCACTTGTCAGGGTTCCAAGACTATGAGATGAGATTTAGCATATAAGGAACATATTGTAGTGCCTTGTGTGTATTATATACTCTGCCAATATTAGTCTTGTTTCTTTTTTTCTTTGCAAAGTAGCAAGCCCATAGGTTTTCTTTTTCTTTTCTTAATACTAGAGAAAACATTTATTGCAGAGCCCCTTTACCACCAACCACTTTGGTAGAGTGCACATACAAAGGGCAGATGCCATTTATTCTTCCTTCTACATCCATGAAGGGGTGAAAGTGCCTGGATTGCCCTCCTGTATGAAATGTAGGTACAAGTTTATGTGGCATGTGTGTCAGCTTAAAAAAAAAATCTGTCAAATCCTCCTGGGGAAAAAAGTGTCAGAATATGACAAACAGTTATTTGTAAGAATAATCTCCTGAATGCCTTTGGTAGCTTGAGTAAGAAACTAAAATACAGAAAAATTTTTTTTTTCTTAGGTAGACAAACCTTTCAATTAGTGACCAGAAAAAAATTATCAGTTTGTAAAAGACAGTTAACGCCTAGGGACCAGCTGTCATATACCTCAGAAGGAAGCAAACAAGGGTTTTCTTTACAAGGATGATTTTTTTAATGTCGTTATGATTTTCAAACATAAATATATGTTTAATAACTCTACAGGTACCCATGGCCCGTTATAAAGAACCCTATTAAATTGAAAGCAGGAATCTAGAGAGGCACAATCTAACCTGTTCCTCTCAATCAAAAGCAATGTTTGTAGAGAGGTGTATCTTCATAATGCTACATATTCCCTCAAGAGGAATAGATGTGCTCACAATTAAAACCTCAAAGGTTCGGGGGAAATCACCCCTGAATGTTCTAAGACTTAAAAACAAACAAACATATCACAAAATAACTTCGAAGAAGGGAAGATCTCTCTAATGTGTAAAGATTTCACTTCATAGAATCCCAAGTCACAGAACAACCTGGGCAACTATGAAGACCATGAAGACAAAGAACAAGATGCAGGGGGAAGATGAGGGCCCAAGAAGGTACACATGGTTCACTCACAGAGGCTTCAGGTTCCAGACCACATTTCCACAACCGCATGCCATCATTCCTACACCATACGTTCTAAACACTGGGTCATCACAGTCCCTTGAACAACTTAATCACCCACTAACATAACTGCTCTCACCACTTCTTCAATGTCGTCAGAGAATCCAAAGGAACAGTCTTCACGGCTGCCGCAATGTCTCTGCCCCTTCAACCCCTTACTATTAAGAAAACCACTTGTGGCACATAATTGAGTACAATCCACACTCTTGCCTATGGGAAAGCCCTCTATTCATCTTAGAAGACAAAACAGAACTAGAAACACACAAAGCCAAAGGAAGCCAAGGTCCCTGTCCTCTACTCCCTTTGCCTCAAATTATATAGATGCACGAGCCGATTCATGTGAATGGGCTTTCACTAAGGAGAAAGCTTGGGTTCCCAAGCAGAGATCTAGAAAGGTCCAATTCAGCAGGTTGGATGAAAAGCGATGATATCACCAGGCTCAGCAGTGAGCTTCAGGCCTCAACACATTAATCAGAAATGACTCTCTGGTTAGTTTATACACATGACATCATTGAGTCTGAGCTGTGGTCTCTTCCTGCCCACTGAAGTGTTTCACTGTCATCTGACTTAAAGGAACTTCATTCTAAAGGAACTTCCATGACTTAAAACTTCAATGGAAGCTCAAAAACTTCAGTATTTTGCAGAACTTAAACTTCATGATTTTGTAGAAAACAGATTTTGCCAATGCCTTTTGTCTGAGCCCTAGCAATCTGTGGTTTCCTTCTTTGTAAGTTAATACACACTCCTGATTGCAAGTGCAAGCTATATGGCTAGCTAGACCATCCTTAAAGAAGCATGGATGAGGGAAAACAATTTGCCTTGGGAAAAGAGTTGAGGGATGCCAACTGTGTAGATGACAGTCACGGGAGAAAAATAAAAGAAGGCACCGGCAAACCTTTGAGAAGATGATGCTGTCCATCTCATCACTGGGCGAATGGAAGAGGTCAGTGTCACTCTCAGATTCTCTTTGAAGTACAGCTTGTTTTGAGGCACACTCCCCGCCCAGCCCGACAGCCAAGAAGTTCTCACACTCTGAGAAAGAAAATTTATTCAATCAACACTTTTTTACAAATTCACTTTCCTTTCACACAAGGTACTAGTACTTTTCTCTCTACTGCTTTTTGTCCTCTCTCCCCCTTTCTTTCTCTCTTTCTCACTCTCTCATCGGTTGTGGGACTTGAACTCTGGGCCTAGGCACTGTCCCTGAACTCTTCAGCTCAAGGCGACCACTCTACCACTGAGCCACAGCACCACTTTCCGGTTTTCTGGTGCTTCATTGGAGAGAAAGAGTCTCACAGACTTTCTGGGCTGGCTTTGCAGCTCAATTCTTAGATCTCAGCTTCCTGAGTAGCTAGGCTACAGGAATGAGCCACCAGCCCTCGGCCTCTTTCTTTTTAAAAACATAAAGAAACTAGAAAGAACACAGTCAAATTACAGGGTTTCAGATCTGCTACTTCAATAAGATAATCATGAGCTTGTAGTGTAGAGAAAGATAAAATGATGAGTCAGAACTATATTCTATCTAGATGGAAATGTTTTCTTTCTGATAATTACAGCTTGTCTTTTGTTTTGAAAATCTGAAGTCCATTAGGAAATTATGAAATGCGATTTGTGGGCCAATTTCTGTTCTGAGATTATAGTTGTTTCTAGAAACATTACTTTTTTAAATTAGCGACACAAAGATCAAAGTGGCACAATCACAAAAATTAGTGATATTAAGTAGTAGATAAATAAATACATCAGTGCATTAAATGTACAGATTCTGGGGCTGGGAAGGGGGCTCAATGGTAGAGTGCTTGCTTTGCATGCATGAGGCCCTGGGTTCGATTCCTTAGCACCACATAAGCAAAAGGAAAAAAAAAGCTGGAAGTAGCACTGTGGCTCAAGTGGTAGAGTGCTAGCCTTGAGCTGAGGGACAGCGCCCATGCCCAGAGTTCAGGCCCCACAACCGACGACGACAAAAAAAAAAAAAAAAAAGTACAGATTCTACTGAGTAATGAAGGAAACTGTTAACTTTTCTTCCCTAAATAGATCTTACACTGGGAAAGTAATGTACCATAGTAGAAAAATGCATCATCTGAATTTGGCTAAGTTTGGAAATATCCTTAAACAAAAAGAGGTGCTCAGTGTGTGCTCTATGTGTATGTGTATGATTTACAATCCTGTGCTTGAAATGAACATATTAGGAGATAATGTCATCATAGAATCACACACAGAATGACACAGGAAATTAGGCAGGACCTATAGATTAATCTGAAGACCCTCCAGTTAAAAAGAAAAAAAAAAAAACACCATAGTTAATAGGCAACTATTAGTTCAATGGGAACAGTCTTGCCTTTCAAAGATGGAAAGGAAATGTATGGGTATTCTGGATGGTCTTTTTCCTCCCATACTGCATAAAGTGATTATTAACTAGGTGGAGTTGGTAGATTTGTGATCTTTCTATTCTTTCCCCTTTCCTCCTTGGAAAAATCAAAAGCTCCATTCTGTGACAGAGAGGAAAACCAGTGGGGCTAGCCAACAACAGAAAGGGCTGTCACAGCAACCGCCGAGCGGTAAGCCGTCCAGCTGGCAGCCTACATCCAATTCCAAGCTCAAGCTATTCTCACAGACTCAGCCATGATAGAAACATCTCATCCCCAAAGTAAATCTAAACCAGCACAAGGGACCACAAAGGAGTCTGGAATAAGATCATATCGTGCAGACGATATTGACTGTTGGACTAGTATACCACCACACCTACATTTTTAGGTCTCATTAACTTTTGCCTGGGCTAGCCTCAAACAGGGACTCTCCTATCTCTACCTCCTGAGTAGCTAAGGATTACAGGCATAAGCCCTTATTGCCAGGTCTCACTTGTTAGGATAAAGATCCTAGGCCAAGAAGTAATTTAATCCTGTGTAGGTCTCCATTTCCTTATGAGAAAGAAGGGATGATTAGTAACCTCCCAAAGATTTGTACTGACAATCAGAAATACTTTGTTATATATAGGAACCAGAACTCTGTTCCTCAGCATATAACAGGTATGTGATACATGTACCTAATGAAGTTGGGCTTTATTCATCTTTAATGTATGATATTTTAAAAATGCGGAGGAGAAGCCAGGTGCTGGTGGCTCATGCCTGTAATCCTACTCAGGAGGCTGAGATCTGAGGATTGCGGCTCAAAGCCAGCCTGGGCAGGAAAGTCCATGAGACTCTTATCTCTAATAAACCACCAGAAAACCAGAAGTGGTACTGTGGCTCAAGTGGTAGAGCACTGGCCTTGAGCTGAAGAGCTGAGGGACAGTGCCCAGGTCCAGAGTTCAAGCCTCACAACTGACAAAAAAAAAAAAAGTGGAGGACAGTAACCTGAAAGCAGGCACTGATGAGGATACGGCCTGCATAGAAATCTGCCAGTCATTCTTGTGTACTGAGCCATTAGCACTTTAAAAGCTAATAGAAGTCATTTTTGAAGATGCACTCTAGTGATCTGCATTTAGAGTTAGAATAGTTACTTACCAAATAATGATGTTTAGTCCTTAATATGCACGCATGTATGTATATAATTTTGCCAGATTAAAAAAACTTGTACTTGTACCATATGAACAGAATACGTTATCTTGACTAAAAAATCATAAAGCCACATACATAACCCCTCTGTATAACAAAGATAATAAAAAAAATTAAAAGCCACATATGACATCTTTTACTACTAAAGTAAAATGGAAGAAACTACTCTTGTGCTTAATCCAGATCATATCTATCCCTTCCTCTGATTCCTGTGTTGTATGTTTCAAAAGGAAAGATCTCCAAATCAAAACATCAGTTTTTGTTTTGTTTTTTAATTTTTTTTTGTCAGACATGGGGCCTGAACTCGGCCTGGGCACTGTCCCTCAGTTCTTCAGCTCAAGGCTAGTGCTCTACCACTTGAGCCACAGTACCACTTCCGACTTTTTCTGCTTATGTGGTGCTGAGGAATTGAACCCAAAGCCTCATGCATGCAAGGCAAAGCACTCTACCACTGAGCCACCTTCCCAGCTCCTCAAAACATCAGTTTTTACAGATGCATTGTGGCTCTAGAAAACGAGATATTTAGATCTAGCAAATTAGAAAATGAAAGGAAAAAAAGAATCTCTGCTTACCTGTGCTCTGTTTGGAAGCCAAGAGTGACGCTGCACCAGGACATGGCTCTATGGAACACCAACTTTCTCGATTTATCTAGAAAAAGTAAAAATTACTTTAGACAGTGAAGTAATGTTGTTGAGTCTGAAATTATGCACCTCCTCCTTTTTCTTTAAAACTTCAGAGCTCTCTGAGAAGACTGTCAATACTCAATAGGAAGAGATATGCACTCATGGTACAGGGCAGAGGTAAAGTAAAAAAGTTAATATATGAAAATAATCAAATATTAAGACACATATTTGATGTCCTTGTTTGCAAGTTAAAATATATTATTGTGAAACAGGTTTCTCTAACAGTAAAAACCAAGCAATCAGGACTATCTAGACTAGAACTATCTAAACTGAGAGAATATAATTAAAATGCAATATCTCTTAATAACTAATTTAATAATCATTATCTTCAGTGGTTCTAGAAGAAAATTAAAAGTGGCTAGAACTCTAAGGGGTGTAACCACAATCCTTTAGAAGACCCATTAAAAAAAAATCTGAGGCCAAAGGAAGCAAAACGACTGGATGAAAGAAATAGTTAAATAAGATTCAAAAAGAAAGTCTATGCCTTGCATGCATGTTTTGGGTTCGATTCCTCAGCACCACATAAGCAAAAAAGAAAAAAGCCGGAAGTGGGGCTGTGGCTCAAGTGGTAGAGCGCTAGCCTTGAGCTGAAGAGCTAAGGGACAGCGCCCAGGCCCAGGCCCAGAATTCAGGCCCCACAACCAGACCCCCCCCCAAAAAAGAAAGTCTACCAAAATATACATATCTCTTACAGAAGGCTAAACAAGATTATGGAGTCTTGAGAGAAAGTCTTGAGACTTTCAATCTAGGTCCACTTATTTTGATGTAACAGGTTAAAAAAAAGGTATGGGAGAACCAAGACAGAGCATACACAGAGAAGCCATGTTTATGATGGCATTCATGGTAGATAGCAAATATTTGTGAACATAAATAGCTTAGAAACTCATACCTGCTGGCTTATGTGTTAGGGAAATGCACATAAAAACTACCATGAGCCATCACTTCAAACCTATTAAGGTTTTTTGTTTTTTGTTTTTTTGGTCGTGGGTGCTGTTCCTGTGATTTTTTTACTCAAGGCTCTACCACTTTGAGCCACGACACTACTTCCTGATTTTTGGTGGTTAATGGGAGATAAGACTCTCAAGGACTTTCCTTCCCAGGCTGGCTTCAAACTGTGATCCTCAGATCTCAGCCTCCTAAGAGTTAGGATTACAGGTGTGAGGCACTGGTGCACAGCTGGTTATCATTCTCTTTAAGTGTGGAAATAACATTTCCCAGTGAGAATGAAGAGAAGTTGGAACCCTTATGTAATGTTCATAGGAATGTAAAATGATAGCAGCTATGTGGAAAAAAACAGCAACTGTTTCTCAAGAATTAAGTATACAATTACCCTGTAATTCAGCAATCCTGCTTCTGAGAATATACCCACAGATAAAAAGTCATAGCACTATACACAGCAGTCAACAGTTATAACAGCCCAAAGGTTGGTTGATAGATGACTGGATAAGTAAAAAATGGTATTTGCTTAAGATGGAGTATTTTTTAGCCTGACACATGCTGTGACTTAGATGGGCTTTGAAGATGATAAGCTACAAAAGACAATACCACACACACACAAAAAAGCTATACAATTATGGCTCCACTGTATGAGACACCTAGATTGTCAAAAATCAGACAAAAAAAAATCGTGATTCCAAGAGGCTAAGAGAAGGGAAAGAAATGGGGAATTATTGTTTAACAGGTGCAGATCTTCAGTTTGGGCCTGTGGCAAGGATGTGGAGAAGGCTGTTGGTGATAGTTACACAAAGATACAAAGTACTTTGTTCCACTCAACTGTATACTTAAAAATGGTTTAAAGGCTGAACTATATACATTTTATCCCAATTTTAAAGGGTATGCAGCAGTTCCAGATATGCAAACTTGTCTGAAAAAAGTTATGATGCTGCCCACAAAACCGAAGTCAGAGCTAGTAACCTCAGCCAGTTGCTACCAGTCCTAGCCAGTGCCATTAGCCAGGGAACAAATCTCAATGCTGCAATACGTGCAGAAAGAATGTCAAAACATGTATCAGCATTTTCAACCACATCCTGTGTAATAACAACACCAAGCCATCATGTTCATGTGTGGAGAATATGGAGGTTGCTGTTTAAGTAGGCTGCTTCAGAGATACAAACTGGATGAAAAAAAAATCTCCCTTCTGAATCTACGCTAGCCTCCTTTCTTTTCATCAAGGATACCTGTCTTTGTCTCACTCACAGACCACCAACATGCCTTCCATACTACACTATGATGCGCCACTGGAAACATTTTCCCATAGGCTACACACAGTGCACACACACAGTAACACATCTGAATCCTATCCAACATGCAAGTAAAAGAAAACAGGTAGTCCGGTTAGAAGAATGCTTACTCTCAAGCAAGTGTCCCGAAATACAATCCTAAGGCAGAGGAGTTTACAGATAAGCTGGTTAGGTATGCTGTCAATACTGTTAGGCAGTTCTGAAGCCAGACTTGGCATGAGATTCTGATTTTATCAGAAATGTGAAACTGCTAATAATTAGAGGTTCAGAGAAAAATGAAGATGAAGGTTATGAGCCCCTTATTCAGACCTTTCCCTTAGGAATCACTGAGCTATGAATAAAATATAGGACTGGATACTTACTGGGTAGGAAAGGTAGATTCTAACCTAGTATTTAGAGTTATTATTATTATTTCAGCAAGTAGTTGGAAATGTAGAAATCAAGGGCCAGGAGCTTGGCTTAGTGATAGAAAACATACCTACATCATTTGGAAAGGGATTAAGTCACAAAAATACACTAGTGATTATTTAGCTAAGAAACAAACATTATCAGTCACTTTCCTTTGTCCACAGACTGGTTATGAAAACTAGCTCATTGGCACCACAGGAACTCAACATCCAGAGTTCTGATGAGTTACAATGTATACAGACATGGTGTGATGAAAGTGACCTCAGAAGAAACATCAGACCCATCCAGGTGACTTTTCAACGTTTCATTCCTGCCATCAAGCCTAAAACCTGTTGTGATAATTGAAACCATGCCTTCCATGTGTTCCCCACAGTCTGAAAACAGTGGTACGTATTTTCCTTCTTTTGTTACTGGCAGTGCTGCTGCTACTACTTATGTCTGAACAAACAACCTAATAACAGCTGGCGGTGACACCAAGCCTTCTCAGCCACTGCCAATACTCACTTCCTCTGCCAGTGTCTCAGGAGACAAAGCCCACACTGCAAGACTCAACAAAAGGAAGGGAAAAACCCACCATCCAGACATGAAAACCAACTGAGTCACTCTGGTCAGGGAATCACACTATAACTCAGCAGATAAGCACTGGTGGCATCAATCTTTAGCCCCCCCGCCCCAGTGTCTTTCTTTTGCTGCAATGTGGAGGTGAACTTTTAAAACGTTTATTTCTCAGAGAAATAATACTAGGCTTTGTACAGACACACTATACATCTGAGCTTTAGCTAATGTGGTCACATGGCCTCACTTTCTGTAAATACTCCCATTCAACACACACAAAACTCTGCAACTCTTTTTAAGTATTTTAACATTATGGTTTTTTGGTGGCGTTTGTTTGTGTTTGTTTTGCTCTGGCCAGTCCTAGGGCTTGAATTCAGGGCCTGGGCACTGTCTCTGTGTTTCTTTTTGCTCAAGACTAGTAGTCCTGAGCCACAGCACTGCTCCTAGTTTTTTCTGTTTATGTGGTACTGAGGAATCAAACCCAGGGCTTCATGCATGCTAGGCAAGCACTCTACCACTAAGCCACATTCCCAGACCTGAGTTAACATTCTGAATTAACCAGATACAAAAAGAGAAAAGAAAAAATGCTCCCAATAAATTATCAATAACATTAAGAATCATGTCAATATTACTAGACAGCTTGTTTTCCCCAGGTACCCAAAGTGGTAAAATTAATAAAACAGAAGTGGCCCCTAGCTAAAGCCAGTATAAATCAACAGTTAGTCCTCAATTAACAAATTCCATCACACATTATTCCTTCCTTTCGGTATACTAGTTCTGTAATAAGTTTCTGATAGTTGCTATTCTCTAGGAATTCCAATCCTTGGCTATCAGAAGCTTTTTTTTTTTTTCAGGGAAACTGATTATTCATTATAAATGTAACTGTAAATAGAGAAAGTATTTAAATATTTTAAGTTCAATTAGAATATGATTATGTTTAGCAATACTTAAATGTAAAAGAGTTTCATTAGATACAAATCTGTAACGAAGGTTAGTAAACACTTTTCCTAAGGCTTTCAATTTCTTTATACCAGAAGCTCTTACCAATCACCAACAGGAAATGAACACCAGCTTTCTGAGGGACATTGGAAAAATTAGGGTGCAGGTACTAAAGGTCCCTGGCAACAACTAAATTCTTCCATATCCATTTTTAGCCTATGATTCATAGCTACCAAGCACTTATCAGAAGAACCAGAAGCCATGTAAACATCAGGAAAGAGAAAGCAAGGGAATGTCATATCCAGGGGTGTATGGATATGTGTGTTGCAGGTTTTATCATTTGTAAAATAGTATAAAAAGATAATATGTTGAAAGATTGGGAGTCAATGGCATAACAGCTGATCTATGGATAAAGACCCATGCATCTAGCTCTGGGGAACTCCTCAGAGAAAGCCTGGGTGTAGAAGCACATCCATGAAATTAACTACACAGAACTGACAAAGGAGGTCACCCAGAATGCCTAATAAGCCAAAGAAAGTATGGATATATAGCACAAAATGAGAATTCCAAAGCTAACTTAATAAACTGTGAGAATGCCAATGGGAGGAATTGGAGTTATAAATGTAGAATAACAAAGTGAAAGGCTCACAATCAAAACCTTGTGACTAATATCATATTTCACCTGTATTCTGGTTATCAAGTATCAAATGTAACAGTAAATTAATTAATCACAATTTACAGAAAAAAGGCTTATGAATTCATAACACCATTTAATATTTACAGAGCCTTTCATACAAATTAGACACATTGTTCAGAGTGAACA